CCCCCCCCCCCCCCCCTTCCCGCCTCCCTCTTCTTAACCACGAGGCACCCCCTTCTTTCAGGCTGTGGATTTCTCTATGTTTATAGGAGATGAAGAGTTTGTTAATTACTATACAAGATGACTTATTTTCGTAATTTTGCAAAGTAATGTAAAGGCAACATGCTGCATTAAGCACGGGTTTTGATTTGACCTTCTGCCTCGAAACGCCCTTAAATGCTGCTCTTAAAGTTGAAAAATTAAAAATTTGTTCCCCTGTGCCTTTTATTTTTCTAAGCTGCTGGATGTCTTCCTCTAACAATATCATCTGGATATTTGTTTCCTTTGTTGGATTGATCGCAATTGTAAGTGGCAACGTATTGAATTTTTACAGATAGGAGTTTAGTCATCCAAACATATTTACTTCAACGTTGATTAGAACAACAGTTTTTCAATTATCTCTATTCTCTTGGTGAGCCTTTGAAAGTCCTCTAGAAAAAACTTACAACAGAAGCTTGTGTGATATTTCATTTTTTTTCTTTTCGTGTTCTCCCTCTTCTTTTGTTTTCCTTTTTAATGCCTGAAGATTAACGTGATGATCCTCGTGCGAGTTATCAAGGAAGTGACAACAATCCAACTGGTGAAAGATAGCCAGACTGAGCAGATCAGGTGGGATGATAAGAATTGCTTCTCCCCTAAATGGGGTCCATAATGTAAATATTTTTGTTTGTTTGTTTTTGGTAGAAAGCTTAAAATTCAATCTCTTTAGGAAACACTGGTCTCCGATTGACGTGCTTTGAAAGACGCCCTAGTACATAAAATATAGTTTGTTTTCGATGAAGAACCTTCAAACTGGTTCGTGTGTTACTCCTAACATTATATATCGGCTATTCATTGCGTTCAATCTAAGCCAAGAGTTCTCAATCTTTCTTTACTTCTACTGGAGTGGAAAAAGATCTAGAATTCAGATTAAAAGCTTGTGTTTTCAGAGCGACTATTCATCTTCCAGGCTTGGTGTCCGTGCATGCGTGGTGTTAGCTCCATTGCTGGGTGTCACGTGGCTGATTGGCTTCCTCGCGCCGTTACACATCGCCTTCTCCTACATTTTTGTAATCCTTAATTCCACTCAGGTAAAGTCATCTACAACCTTTAAGGTTTGGTAAAGCTTGTGCTCATGGGTAGAAATAAGGGCGTACTTACGGCGTGATGTGTGCCAGAAATACTGAAAAGTGTCTCCATATCGAAGGATAATTCAGATTTTCTTTTAAACGCCAGACCCGTGACCCTCCGAAAAAAAGCCGACTCAAGACCATTTAAACCTTCCTTTAGAAATTGCATTTTTATCTCCAAAGCTTTAGCTCTGCTTAAGCCACCATGAATCGATTACTTCTGATGGATAGAGTTGTATTCGGAAAATTAAGCCTCAAATAAGTGATCGATCGTAGATGATAAGGAA